AGCTAGGTCTTATTTTAAGAGGATGTCTTATTTTCGGGGAAACATGGTAGTAAATCTGTGAGTACCACATATTTTCTTGATTTACTTTTTAAACAGAATCATTAACTCAAATGGCACAAGCATAATTAAGTTTTATAATAGAGGGTGGGCAAAAGTAGGCTTACAGAACTTATTTTATATTATTATTAATTATTGTATTACTTCCCATATGAACAACAGTCACCTAATTTTGCCTCACTGTGTATATACCACAAAAATATATGAAAATGGTCAAGACTAATGAAAATCAAAGACATACAAAAGATAATATTTAAACCCATAATATTGGCAAAGATTTAAAAGACTGACAATGCCCAAAGTTAATGAAGATGAGGGGATATGTGTTCTTTTATAGCTATGTTAATAAGAGATCAAATTGGTTACTTTTTCTTTATTGTATTATCATCCCACATCTTCCACTTTAGAAACCATCATCTGGTTCTCTATATCTATGGATCTGTTTCTGTTTTGTCTGTTCATTTGTTTTGTTTGTTTTTTCGATTATACATATAAGTGAAATCATACAGAATTTATTTTTTCTACACGACTTTTCTACACAATACTAAGCAATAATACCCTCTATATCCATTCATTGTGTTACAAATAGCAATCTTTCATTGTTTTGTTAGCAATATAAATTTTTAATTTATCTTTATTGTGGAGAGTATTATAAATGTCCTTTTTCCCCATTGGTCCCTCCACTCTGCTCCTCCCCACCCCCCAAGCCTGATTGCACTATTGACTGTCCATGGGTTATGCATATCTATACAAATAAAAGCCGAGGTGGCCCTTGCATGATGCCCTCATGTGATCACATGATGGCCACCCTCACAAGATGGTCACCATAAGATGACCACCACAAGATGGCCAGCAGTGGAGAGCAGTTGTGGACAATAGGGCTGGCAGGGGAGGACAGTTGGGGGCCATCATGCCTGCAGGGGAGGGCAGTTGGGGGGACTCGGCCAGCAGCAGAGGGCAGTTCGAGGCAACCAGACTGCGGGAGATGGCAGTTGGGAGGGACCAGGCCAGCAGAAAGGACACATGGGGCAATCAGGCTGAGAGGGGAGCAGCTAGGTGTCAATAAGGCCACCAGGGGAGTGGTTACGGGGCAATTAGGCTGGCAGGCAGAAGTGGTTAGGGACAATCAGACATGCAGGTAGATGAGTAGTTAGGAGCCAGCAGTCCCAGATTGTGATAGGGTGTGCCAGATTGCAGAGGATACAGGCCTGGCTGAGGGACACAAACCTCCTGTGCACGAATTTTGTGCACCAGGCCTCTATTCTATATAATAAAAGCCCAGTGGATGAAGCAGGGGAACAACCAGAGCAACTATAGCCCCTTACCACATCAGGCCCCACCCTCCAGCAGAGACACCCACCCTCATTGGGAAAGTGGCCAGCCTGCAATTTATTCACAGCCCCTCGCCCTGGCCAGCCTGCCCTCCCTCCAGTGGGCCCCATCACAATCTGGAGCCCCCATGTGGGAAGTCTGGCTGGCCCCCACTTGTGTACCAGGCCTCTATCCTATTTAATCCTATATAATAAAAGGATAATATACAAATTTACCCTAATGGCTGAGTGACCAGAATGACCACTTGAACAATCACTATGACGTGCACTAAGCACCTCTCAATTCCTTTTCCTGGCTGGCAGGCTCTGACTATCTTGTGACAAATGGGGAATCACAGGTGGGTGGTGGGGGACATAGGTGGCTCCAGGTCAAGGCCCCTGTCCCACCAATCACCCCACACACAGAGGGCAAACCACTGTGGGGGCGTGGCCAGTGAAAATGTGGGAATGGCTTATCTTTCAGTTCCTCCCACGCCAGTAGCCTCCAATCACTGATGGTGAATGGGGAAACAGGGTTGGTGGTGGCAGGGGGTGGGGCTGGCTGCAGGCAGCTGGGAAAGATGGCACTGATTGCATGCCAAGCCTAGGGACCATACCCACACATGAATTTCATGAACCAGGCCTCTAGTCTAAATATAAAAAACCTTAATATTCAAATAGATCAAAGAGTGGAACAATTGAAAGACCAGAACATACGGGTGTCATCAGCAGGCAGCAGAGCCTGAAACATGATGGGTGTCACTCACAGCAGGATTGTGGAGCAGCAGGACATCAGACCACAGTGGGGAACTGGTAGCTACAGGGTGAGTCTCTGGTAGTTATTAAAATTCCTTGCTCACACACACCTAGATCCCACCCTATGTTTATACCTGTTGCCAATGCCAGCCCTGCTCGCACCCACTGCCAGCACTGGAGCCACCACTTACACCTGCTGCCAACGCCCAGTATCAGCTCCATTGGATGAGAGCAGCAGCTGCCAGCTCAGATCACCCCTCAGAGATTCACGACCTCCCCCTGCTCCAAAGGGATGATCAGGGCTGGCAGCTGCCTCTCACACTGGCAGCCAGCACCTGAGCCACTGCTTGCACCTGCTGTCTGCACCTGGCACTGGTCCCAATTTTTCGGCGTCATTAGCAGGTGCAAGCAGCAGCTGCCAGCCCCAAACATCCCTGAGGGCTTCTCTACTTCTTCCTGCCCCTGAAGGATAATCTGAGCTTCATCTACTGCTCAAACCCACTGCTTGCGCCAGCCCCAATTGCTCTGGGCCATCAGTGGATGCCAGTGGGCCAGTGCCATCAGCGAGTGGGAATGGCAGCAGCAGGAGCAGGGCTGCCAGCAGAGAGGGGACCAGGAGGGTAAACGGGGAAGTGTAGGATGGGCCAAGTCACCTCCTCCGCTCAGTGCCCACTGCAGCGTCACACTCCACAGTTCTTTTCAAGGTGCACGAATTCATTCACTGGGCCCCTAATATGCATATAATTTCCTTTAAGAGAAAATTCCTGAATCTCGAGCAGCCTCCATATCACTCAACCACAAACCCTATTGCTTTTGCAGCCTCAAGTTATGGGGACTTCTCTTCCCAGCTCACTAATCCTGGGCTTGGGGTCTGGTGTGGATCTGGGACCTCTTGTTATTCATGGGATGTCTCTACAGCCGAGATTTCCCTACTGTAGGAAAAAACACCACAGGAGGATGTTGGAACAACCTGTATGTACCTCTGCTCCTCCTACCAGTCTCAATTTACTCTCTTCTTTACTTCTCTAGCTGTAGAACTTCCATTCAGCCAGCTTTCATGCTGTACTGAATGGTTGTTCTATATTTTAGGTATAATTTTGATAAGGTTGGGGGAGGTGGTAAGTACAGGTGTTTACCTATGCCACCATCTTAATTCTAATCCTCTATTATAAGGTACTTTTAATTTCTTGTGTGATTTGCTCTTGATCCATTAGTTGTTTAGTACCATGTTGTTTAGTCTCCACATATTTGTTTTCATTCCAGTTTTCTTCCTGGAGCCGATGTCTAGTTTTGTACCACTGTGGTCAGGAAAGGTGCTTGATATAATCTCAATCTTCCGAAGTTTTTTGAGGCTGTTTTGTGGCCTAATAAGTGATCTATCCTAGAGAATGTTTTAGGTGCACTTGAAAAAAAAATATGTATTATACAGTTTGGGGATAAAATGTTCCATAAATACTATTAAGCCAATATCATCTTATGTGACATCTTAAACCATTCATTGCTTTTAATTTTCTGTCTGAATCATCTATCCTTTAATGTGAGTGTGGTATTAAAATCCTCTGCTATTACTGTATAACTTTGGATTTCTCACTTTATGTCTATTAATAATTGCTTTATATATTCAGGTCCTTCCATGTTAGGTGTGCAGATATTTACAAATGTTACATCCTGTTCTTAGATTGACCTCTTTATAATTATGTAATGTCTTTTGCCTTTCTTTTACATTTTTTTTGTTTGTTTTAAACTAAAGTCTACTTTTTCTCGTATAAGCATCACTACCTCAGCTTCGTTTTCATTTCTATTTGCATGGAACATCTTTTTCCATCCCTTCATTTTCTGTCTATATGTGTTTTTGAAGTGCTTCTTATAAGCAGCATATAGGCAGGGCATACTTTTTAACCTTTTCAGAAACCCTATGTTTTTTTAATCTACATATGAGGATATGTTTATTGATTTTAGAGGGATAGGAAAGGGGAGATAAAGAGGGAGAGGGAGACATATTGATGTGTGAGAGAAACATAGATCATCTGTTCCCTCCCATACAGGCCCCAACTAGGGATCAAACATGCAACCTTTTCATGCACAGGACAACACTCTAATCAACTGAGCCACCTGGCCAGGGTCACCTTATATCTTTCTAATGGAGCATTAAATCTATTTACATTAAAGTAACTATTGATAAGTATTTACTCATAACCATTCAGTTAATAGTTTTGTGGTGTTCTTATATTTCTCCTCTGATCACTTCTTCTCTTGATCTCTTCCCTAGTGGTTTGCTGTTTTTCTTTAGATTTGGGTGTGTATTCCTTCTTCTTAGTTCTTTACATATATTTTTTATGGTTTTACTTTGTGGTCATCATAAGGTTTAATTATATCATTCTGTATCTAAAGCAGTCTATTTTAAGCTAATATACATTTAAGTTCAAATATATTGTATAACAATTAAATTTTCACTACCTCCTACGTGTTTAATATTATTTAGATCTTTTCATGTTGTGTATCCCCTAATTACTTATTGTATTTTGAGTTGAGTTACATAGTTTTTTTCCTCTTCACCTTTGTAGTAGCTTTTTAAATGTCTAATATGGTGTCTTTATTAATATTTGACTTTACCTGTGGAGTATTTATTCCTTTCTCATATTTTCTTATTTCTAGTTATGGCCTTTCCTTTTCTACTTAAAGGAGACCCTTTAAGTGGAAATAAAACAGAACATTTGCAAATACAATGTTATTGGTAGTGTTTATAATCATAAAACAGATAATAAAGCCACTTACTTACAAATAAGATAATCTATTTTACTTTTTGCACTTCCATCCAAATTGTCATCATATGTATTTACTTTGGATGTGTGGGTTACATTTTAACTTCCTGATTGATATCTCTTTAGACATAAGCATGAGCTAAGGGAAAGGGACCAGCCATTTGAAAAGAAGCTTGTGTGCCTCCAGGATGCCTAGGAAGTGGATTTCAGTTCTGCTGCTGCTCCAGCTGAGTTGCCACTTCAGCCCTGGGAGCTGTGGGAAGGTGCTGGTGTGGCCCACAGAATACAGCCACTGGATCAACATGAAGACAATCCTGGATGCACTTGTGCAGAGAGGTCATGAAGTGACTGTTCTGACATCCTCAGCTTCGATTCTTGTTGATCCCAATAAGCCATCTGCTATTCAATTTGAGATTTTTCCTACATCTTTAACAAAAGATAATTTTGAGGATCTTTTCACGCGAGTGATCTCTAAATGGTCATATATGCCAAAAGATACATTTTTTACTTATTTTTCACATGCACAAGATATCTTGTGGGAATTTTTTGATTGTATTCAAACGCTCTGTAAAGAAGCAGTTTTGAACAAGAAACTTATGACCAAACTACAGGAATCAAGGTTTGATGTCGTTCTTGCAGATGCTGTTGGACCCTGTGGTGAGCTGCTGGCTGAGCTACTTAAAATACCTTTTGTGTACAGTCTCCGCTTCTCTCCTGGCTATAACATTGAAAAGTTCGGTGGAGGACTTCCACTCCCTCCATCCTACGTACCTGTTGTCTTGTCAGAATTAAGTGATCAAATGACATTCATGGAACGAGTAAAAAATATGATGTACGTACTTTATTTTGACTTCTGGTTCCAAACATATAATCACAAGAAGTGGGATCAGTTTTATAGTGATGTTCTAGGTAAGTCATGTTTTAATTGATAGCTTGAAACCCTAACTTTGCTAATGCCATGGGAGGGGAGTTTGTACAATTATAAAGTCAGAGGAAATACCTTTTATAAGTAAATGACTAAATAATTATAATAATAATAATAATAATATAAAGATCTTTGAATCGCACAATTATTATAGTAATGTTAACATTATAAGGCCATTTTTAACCCTGTGATCCATTATTAATACAGGAGATTTCAGGAAGTCAAAAACCACAAAATATAGCACTGAGGAGTTCTAGAAGCCATTATGCCAATTCTTTATTTATTTGTAATATAATTTATTTTTTTCTGAGTAAAGTGTTTTGTTCACTCTTGAATGTCAAAATATTGTCCATCCTACACTTATTGTTAGAGAACTTTTAAGTTCACAGCAATATTGAGTAAGATTTCCCATATAACCCTTGCCTGCACACAAATATAGACTCCCTCATTTTCAACATATAACACCCAAGGAATACATGTGTTATAATTGTTGAACCTACATTGCCACATCATTATCATCCAAACACCACAGTTCATGTTGGAGTTCACTCATGGTGTTACATATTCCATGGGTTTTAACAAATTTATAATGACACGTATTTTACAGAGTAGTTTCACTACCCTAAAAATTCTCTGTGTTTAACTTATTTCCAAAATACCTACTTTACTATAATTTTTCAGCTTTCTAAAAAGGCATTAAAATTTGACTAAATATCTTGATCAAAGCAAAAAAGCATATTGAGAAGTTACTTTCTTTATAGCACAGCATCCCAGTGAGCTGTGAGATAATTGTTTCCATCCTTATTTCTCCTCAGTTTCTCTATTTTAAAATTAAAATTTTAAAATAAAGAATTTTGTCATGTTACCTAAGAAACTCTTTCACAATTGGGAGATATAATGGCTCCAAACATGACTCAAGAACCTACCATTCAAAATTTCTAATAACTACATGTTCATTCACTCAGTGGTTACACTGTTTGAAAGTCGTGTTGAAGGGTAGACAATCAAGGTATTGGTATGTATTTGTAAAAACTGTATCTTTTCATTACAGACAAAATGAGCCAAAATTAAAGGGAACACATCTATTTTCCTAACTTATGAAAACGCTCCAGCTTTTATTTGCAAATATTATTATTAAATACATATAAATATTATTAAGCTCCAAAAATGCATAAAATCTAATTATAGGTGTCAGGAACTAAGATATACTTCAAAAACATCACAGTTCTTAGAAAATCGAGTATTCAGGGAATAGCTTGTTAAATTGTAGAAACTAAGCTGAGTATTTATAACACAACATGTGTTCATTGCTTAATTGATTAGAAAGCTCAAATAAATGTGTACATTTGCATCTGTTATTTTTGTAGTTTTATTAAATATGTTTAATTCTATAGTGGCTTACATGTAATTGTTTATCATTGTGAATGTACTGATGTCACATTACAGATAAAAATATCTAGCACTTTGCCTTATTTATTTGATTATAAACATAAAACCTACAAATTTTACATAGTTTATCACCTATATGAGTATATATACATTTATACCACACACATAAATATTTATATTATCAGACCACAGACACTTTAAAGCATTTGGGCTACCTTATCCCCAGTACCTTTCAGAAAATGTCCTAGTATAGTACTTACATTAAAATGCTCTCATTTCCTCTGTTTGCTTTCCCTTCAGGAAGACCCACTACATTATATGAGACAATGAAGAAAGCTGAAATATGGCTCATTCGAACCTATTGGGATTTTGAATTTCCTCGCCCATTCTTACCACATTTCGATTTTGTTGGAGGACTCCACTGCAAGCCTGCCAAACCCCTGCCTAAGGTAAACCTATTCCCCTTTGTTTTCTTTTGAGGATGTTCACTAGTATTCTGCCTTAGAAGGAAGACAATGCCTCAACAATATGAATTGTGTTTCACCAATATTGGCAGCAAAACCCAACATTTACTTACTGTCATTTCAGCATTTAAAAAATTCCCCATTTTAGATCTGGTTTCACATCCTAGAATAAAAAGTAATTGCATAGCCTAATAAAGCAGGTGTTTTCTGACATTCACCAATTCTGCACAAAATCTCAGTAAAGATCCCTGGGGGGAACATGGTTTTCAACATCACAGATGACTGACAACATGAACACAAAGAAACTGAACACTGCACATCTAATAAGACCCAATATCCTGCATATTTAATATACCAATTCCATCTGAAAATTAACCACAGTACAAAATTGCAAAATGTTTGTCAGCATGTAGGATATTCCTTATGCAGGAAAGCAAGAATCTAACATACTTTAAATTGATATAATACTTTAAGACATAATTACAAAACAAGCATTCTTTACTGAATTATTTTGTTATCTCCTAAGACATCCTATTTGTCTACCACTTGATTGACAGCAACATAAAACAGATCTCTTATTCAAGAGTTAGCCCAATTTCTATTTAGACTTAAAAATGTTTAGGTATGTGATAACTTTCACAAGGTAAAATTGGTAGAAATTCTATTCAATCTAACTCAATTGTTTTCTTATTAGCTTTATTGACATGTTATTGACATATAACTGTATAAGATATTTATAGGGCACACTAGAGGCCCAGTGCACAAAATAGGTGCAAGAGTAGGACTTCCTCCCCATGGCTGCCGGCACCGGCTTCCCTCTGGCACCTGGGACCCGGGCTTCCCTCACAGCCCCAGCTTTGTATGGAAGGATGTTGGGTCTAATTAGCACATTATGCTTTTATTATTATAGACTAGAGGCCCAGTGCTCAAAATTCTTTCATGGGGGGAGAGGGCGGTATCCTCAGCCAAGCCTTCACCCTCTCACAATCCGAGATCCCTGGATGGATGGCCAACTGCCGGTTTAGCACCCTCTCACAATCTTGGACCCCTGGTTCCTAACTGCTCACCTAAATGACTGCCTGATCACCCCTAATCGCCTCTGTCTGCCAGTATGATCACTCCTCACTGTCCCCCTGACAGCCTGGTTGCCCCCCCATTGCCCTATTCACCCCTCACTGCCCTTCTCTGCCAGCCTGGTTGCCCCTCATTGTCTCACCTGCTGGCCTGGTCACCCCCACCTGCCCCCTATCAGCCAGGTTGCCACCAGCTTCCCCCCTCTGTTGGACTGGTTGACCCCAACTGCCCACTTTCCAGCCTGGTCACTCCTTATGGTCCCCCTACTGGCCTAGTTTCTCCAACTGCCCCACCTGCTGGCTTGCTCACCCCCATTTGCCCCCTGTTGTCCTGGTTGATGCCAACTGCCTCTCTGCTGGTCTGGTAGCCCCCAACTGTCCCCCCTACTGCCCTGGATACCCTTCACTGCCCCCCCCACTGCTGGCCTTGTCATCCCATGCAGTCTGCTGTTTGGTCATTTAGATGCCCCTGCCTGCCAACCTGATCACCCCACACAGCCTGCTATTAGTAACCAGATGAACATATAAGTCCTGGTCATCCCTCACTAGCCCTCCTGCCAGCCTTGTTGTCCCACACAGACCTGATGTTCAGTTGTTACTGTGAAGGAGTCCTGACCAAATTTCAAATTACGCTCTTATTAGTATAGACTAACAGCCTGTGCACGAAATTTGTGTCCCTTCAGCCCAGCCTGCACCCTCTCCAATCTGGGATTCCTTGAGGGATGTCTGACCACAGGGATCAGGCATAAACAGGTGGTAGGACATCCTTCTCACAATCCAAGACTGCTGGTCCCCAAATGCCCCACCCTGCAGGCCTAGTCCCCCATAACTGCTATCTCCTGCTGACCTGGTCCCCCAAACTGCCCTCCCCTGCAGGCCTCAGTCCCCTCCAATTATACTCCCCTGCAGGCCTAGTGGTGCCCCCCCCCCCACAACTGCCTTCCACTGCAGGCCTAGTCCCCCCAAACTTCCCTCCTCTGCAGGCCTGGTCCTGCCCAACTGCTCTACCCTGAAGGCTGGGTCCCCACTTCCCACCTGCCCTGCCTTGCTGGCCTGTTTTCCCTCAACTGCCCTCCTCTGCCAGCCTGGTCACCGCTAACTTCCCACAACTACCCTCCCCTACTGGCAATCTTGTGGTGTCCATCTTGTGTCCACATGGAGGCAACCATCTTTGACTATATGGGGGCTACCATCTTGTGTCTTGGTGTGATGGTCAATTTGCATATTACTCTTTTATTAGATAGGATAGTGATTTGAAATACATATACAATGTGAAGGTATTTTGCTCATGTAATTAACACATACATCACCTCATGTATTTATCTTCTTTTGTGTGTCTGTGAGAACATATAAATCCTGCTCACCCCAGATTTCAATTATACAATACTGTGTTATCAATTCTAGACACCAGGTTATACATTAGATCCTCAGACCTTTCATCTCAGGGCTATAAGTTTATAATCATGTACCAACATCTCCCTGTTTCCTCTACTCACAAACTCTGGCAACCACTTTTCTATTCTTTTTCTATATTTGCCTGTTGTTTTAGACTTCCTATATAAGTAATAGTATGTGCTATTTGTCTTTCTCTGTTTGGCTTATTTAGCTTAGCATACTGCCCTTATAGTCCATTTATATTGTAACCAACAACACAATTTCCTTCTTTCTCTTGCCTGAATAATATTCCACTGTGTGTGTGTGTGTGTGTGTGTGTGTGTGTGTGTGTTATTTCTTATTCACCTTTTGAGGGACACCAAGGTTGTTTCCATATCTTGTCATTGTGAATAATGCTGCAATAGACACAGAAGAACTGGTACTTTTTCAATATACTGTTTTAATTTCCTTTAGCTATAGTTTACCCAAAATTGGGATTGCTGGATCATATGATAGTTCAATTTTTAATTTTTTGAGGAAATTCCACACTCTTTTCTATAATGGCTGTAACAATTTACATTCCTACCAAAACTATACATGTCCCCTTTTTCCCATATCTTTGCCAAATTAATTATCTCCTGTCTTTTTTATGATAGGCATTCTACCAGGTGTTAGGTTGTATCTCACTGCGATTTTGATTTGCTTTTCCTTAATAATTAGTAACACTGAACCCCTTTCCATGTACCTGTAGTCCATTTGTATGTCTTTGAAAAATGCTTCTTCAGAACTCTTCCTATTTTTAATCTGAAATATGTGAGCTCTCTACATATTTTGTATAATATCCCTTTATCAGATATATGATTTCCAAATATTTTATTCCATTCTATAAGTTGCATTTTCATTTTTTGATGCTTTTCTTTTTTAATTTCTTTATTGATTAAGGTATTACATATGTGTCCTAATTCCTTCATTAGCCCCCCAAACCCTTCCCCTTCCACTCCTGCCCTCACCCCCTTGGTGTCCATGTCCATTGGTTAGGCTTATATGCATTCATACAAGTCCTTTGGTTGACCCCTCCCCCTTACTCCTACCCTCCCCTACCTTCCCTCTGAGGTTTAATGGTCTGATAGATGCTTCTCTCTATCTGGATCTGTCCCTGTTCATCAGTTTAAGTTCTTCATTATAGTCCATAAATGAGTGAGATCATGTGATGTTTACCTTTTTCTGACTGGCTTATTTCACTTAGCATAATGCTCTCCAGTTCCATCCAAGCTGTTGCAAATGGTAAGAACTCTTTCTTTTTTATTGCAGCATAGAATTCCATTGTGTAGATGTACCATAGTGGTACATGACACAGCACTGACTGCAGACAGAGCTGCGAATCAGGCCTAAAGAGAGGCCTGGAGAGAGAAGCAGGTTCTGATCCTCCATCCCAGCTGTTGATTAGCCCTTACCTCTCTCTTTCAGACTCTGGCCAGCAGCCACAGCTCTCCTTCTATTGGGGCTCCGCTGGGGCTGCAGATCGGCCCAGTCTCTCTGATCAGGCCTATTGATCGGCCCAGAGACACTGACTGGCACAGAAACCGACCAATAGAACCTAATCTGGGTGAACTGTGAAGTCAGAACCTAAGGTGGGGCTGAGAAGGGGCTTTAAGGGCAACAGCTGTTTGGTGTAAGGTATAAGAAAGCATTTACATTTTTTAATAACCCATTTGACAATATAGTGCCTATGGCTGGCTATCAGTTTAGATATAGGGATTATGTATTTTGTTTTGGAACATAACATATCCCTATTTCTTCATTTTCCTTGACCCCCTGTTGGTTGATTCCTGCACATTAGATAAAACAAGCCCCTCTCCCAGTCTTAACAGAATGATCTCATGTGGGGGATGAACCTTATCCATCAGCCAGCTACAACTCATGGTTGTGGTTCAAAAATCTTTGTGACTGTCCAATCTACCTTCTTTATTCTTATGTAATTGAAGGTGTGCTGAAACTTGTCAGTATCACAATGAAAATAACTGCAGTCAGCACCTAGATCAAGCTTGTCAAACTCATGGCCAGCTGGCCGCATGCATAAAGGAGGCATGCAGGCTGCCAGGTGTGAGTTTTACATGCTATACCTAGATGTAGGCTGATTAGAGGCTGGACCCTCAGGCAGCAATCCCTAGTTAGGGTCCTTCCAGGGAGAAACTGGGAGATGTTTTCCCTGCTCCTTTTGTACTGCTGTAGCCTCTGAAGGGGCTCTTCTACCATTAATAAATTTGGTTGCTACGGTCTGTGGGACTCATAAATACAAATCTCTTTGGCTATCAAAGCTGATAGAACTAGCTAATCTAATGGGTGGCAGGGGAAAAAGTGGACTGCCAGATGTCTATACAAGCTCCTTGCAGGAAAATATTAGGGGTAAGCTCAAGGGAGAGGCCTTATGAGGTGCCTTCTGGCTTCTCCTCACTCCAGAGAGATGTGATAGGCACCTGTGATGTATTTTCATGTTTGTACAATATGTAGGTGTCACTCTGCTAGTTCCTAGAATTGTATCAGAGGAAACTGCTCTCTATGTAGCTGTAGAGACTTTAAATGTTGCTACAGGTCAAAGGAACCCTATATTTAGCTAGATGCATCATGTGAATGGTAAGAATGTTTAGTGACTTTCACAGCATCATAATAAATTATAACTTTAAAGAATGGCCTAAACATTGTATAGTCTGCACGGACAAAGTCTGAAATGTTTTATGCTATGTTCTTTTATCTGTAAAAACACCATTTTGAAAAAAACACTTTATGACAATGACATTGGAACATTGAAAGTATTGTACAGTTTTATTTTTGGAAGGTTTCAGTTATTATTTTTTTTAAATAAACAAATAATAAATTTCAGACAGATGAGACCAAAAAAGGTATTAATATGCAGTTTTAATAAAAGACCCAGGAAACACTTGGATCATCTACATTTCATTTTTGGGGGAAGAGTACACTGAACAATGAGGAATAATGCCACTCTCGAAAGTAATGAAATTATAAATACTGGCAAGGATTAAGGATCACATGTCAAAAATTATTTTCAAACAAAACCTGCCTTCAACAGAGACTTAAATGGGTGAAATGAGATATTCAACAGGGTTTCAGCCCTGTTGTACCTTCTCACTGTAATTAAGGTGTTCCATAGAGAACTTGGTAAAGTGATAATGGAGTTCCTCACAGCTAATCAATCTTAGCACTATCTAATTTTACAATATGATTTCAAATGTCACATGTAAATATGGCCATAAATATGGTCAAATTTGTAACTGTACATACATAATTCTATATTACATACATGGGACTCTTAGGACTATTTCAAGGACATTCCAAACAATTATACCAGACTCCTGAGTATCAACTACCCTTAACTTCTAGCCATTCAAAAATGACTCAAAGGAGGTATTTAGGAAACTGTAACGAGGTATTACAGAAATGAGAGAGAAAGTTACATAGTGATTCAGTCACAATTCTTAGGGAAATAAAGCACTAATGACTCATCTAAAATACTCCTACAGAAAACCTGCCTTAAATGAAACAGAAGTGATTGTGTAGAACTATAGTAATAAAAATAAAAAGTGAATACAGAACTGCTATGTGACTTCCTTCCAAGAGTCCATATTAGTAATTAAAAACATTATAAATAGTCATATAAAATTGTCTAACTTCTGTGTACTGGATCTATTTCATTTCTTGGTGAGATGTTTATATATATATCTATAGGTAGATAGATGATTGATAGGATACATATAGATAGGATACATATAGATAGAATATATGTCACTTTTGAGTGACTCACTTTTGAATGGCTAGAAGTTAAGGGTAGTTGATATTCAGGAGTCTAATATATATATATATATATATATATATATATATATATATATATATATATATATATATATACATATATATATATATAAATCCTATCTAATTAGGAGGGAACATGCTAATTGACAGTCACACCCTCTCAAGATGGCAGCACCCACAGCAAATAAGGAGGGAATATGCTAATTAACTGCCATGCCCTTAAAGATGGCAACACCCACAGCCGCAAGATGGTGGCACCCAGTCACCTCAGCCTCGCCAGAGTGACAGGCCAGTCCGGCCACTCCAAGAGCCTACCTCCAGAGTCTCCCAGTCCCCTCAGCCACCCAGCCACACAGGGGCGGGCCTGGACTCAGGAAAGCCTCAGATGTTGGCTGCCAGTTGCGCAGGGGCTGGCCCAAAGGGCAGGCAAGCCTTAGATGGCTGCTGCCCAGCCACCCAGAGTCACCCGAGTCTCAGGTAACCAGGGCTGGGTGAGATTTGCACTGCCGGCAGTGGCAGTAGCAGAGGTATGATGGGGGTGTCATTTTCCTCTGATAAGCAAGTTGTCTCCTTCCCCTAAGGCTCCCAAATAGTGAGAGGGGGCAGGCCAGGCTGAGGGACCCCCCCGTCTGCCCCCATTCCAGTGCATGAATTTTCATGCACCAGGCCTCTAGTGTGTGTGTGGGTGTGTGTGTGTATAATGTATATGTCTTGCAAAAATATATGATAAAGGAAATCAATCTCATATACAATGCATCATTCCATAGGAACAGAAATATTGAATCAGTTTAAAAAGAATAGCTGCCCTAACTCATTTGGCTCAGTGTATAGTGTGTTGGCCTGTGGACTCAGGATCCCAGATACAATTTCGATCAAGGGCATGTACTTTGGTTATGGGCATATACCCAGTAGGGAGTGTTCAGGAGGCAGCTAATCGATGTTTCTCTCCTATTGATGTTTCTAACTCTCTATCTTTGTCTCTTCCTCTCTGTAAAATCAATTATATATATAATTGATTAATATATATATATATATATATATATATATATATTTTTTTTTTTTTTTTTTTTTTAATAAAACTACTGAAAACAATGGAAATTCTCCCAAAAATATAAGAGTGGAATTACCATATGGTCTGGAAATTCTACTTCTTGGTATATAAGAAAAGAATTAAAATAATGGCCGAAGCCGGTTTGGCTCAGTGGTAGAGCATCAGTCTGCGGACTGAAAGGTCCCGGGTTCGATTCCGGTCAAGGGCATGTACCTTGGTTGCGGGCACATCCCCGGTAGGGGGTGTGCAAGAGGCAGCTGGTTGATGTTTCGCTCTCATCGACGTTTCTAGCTCTCTATTTCTCTCCCTTCCTCTATGTAAAAAATCAATAAAATATATTTTTTAAAAAAGAATTAAAATAATGATATTAGTAAAACATTTGCACATCCACATTCATAGCACTATTCACAACTCAAAAGTGGAATCAAACCAAGAGCCCAATGAACAGAAGAATCAATAAGCAAAATGCAATATTTACATACAATGCAATTTTACTCGAGCTTAAAATTGAAGGAAATTCTAACACATGCTATAACATGGATGGAGCCTCAGAATATCATGTTAAATGAAGTGAGCCACTGACAAAAGGCAAATACTGTATGAATCTTCTTATATTATGTATCCAGACTGGTCTAGTAAACAGAAACAGAAAATAGAATCATGGTTACCAGGGACTACTGAAGAGGGAATTATTGCATAACGGGTACATTTACAGTTTTACAAGATGAAGTTCGACAGTTTGGTTGTGCAATAATGTGAATATACGTATTACTAAACTGTACACTTAGGATCTGTTAAGATGGTAAATATTGTGTTATGTATATTTTAGCACAACTTGTAAAAAAAGGAGTACTCATAACTCCAGAAAATAGTGGATTTCTCTCATTAGTTGTTTGAAAGCATTCATTTCAATGGCGTTTGCTATGCTATTACTATTTTGTAATGGAGCAATTTTTTTCTTTACAGGAGATGGAAGAGTTTGTCCAGAGCTCTGGAAAACATGGTATTGTTGTGTTTACTTTGGGATCAATGGTCAGAAACATATCAGAAGAAAGAGCCAATGTGATTGCATCAGCCCTTGCCCAGATTCCACAAAAGGTTAGACTAAGCATCTTAATAGTCCACAGCTATATATGTGCTAATTACATAAATTCGTGTGATATGTCAGCCATTATGATAGCTCCTATTTATCTCAGCTATGAATTCAAACCAGAATACTAGTATACAAGGCAGGTGATAAATAGTAGTACAAAAGTTGTGTGTAACAGTAACTTTGGAATTAACATTGTGATCAGAATGGAATACTGTATATTTAAGAGGTACAATGTAAAGTTTGGTGTCAGAGTGATATTGCAGAAGGATACCAAAATCACCAAACTCTGCCCTGTCATTGGCTCCATCTCATTGCAGGATTCCTGAAGACACAGTTCACACTGTATGTTCTTAGAAAGGAATAAAATTCTAACAGTATGGTAAGCAGGAATTGATGACAGTTTGAAACAAGTCATGCCATTTGAGGTTTGCTAAGTAATCTAGGCCACTCTTACTTCCCTAATTTTTGAAATAGGCCTATTCAGTGTAATTTCTGATTCCTAAGTACTGTTCAGAGAAAGAATAGCCAGGACTCACTAACCTGGGTCCAGGTTCCCAAACCAGACACATCTAGAGAAAGAAAAGCTGTCACAATCTGGTTGATTGAATCATATAAAAGTGGAGGAAGATAAATTAGAATGAAGAGGGGGACATGGATCCACCATTAAGGTGACTGTGTGCTTTTTAAAATACGGCTCCCCAAAACCTCTGCTTCTAACCCATCAGAATAATAACTTCTCCTGGTTGAGGAAGGAGTAGGGACTATATGAGGAGTCCAGGAGAAGTAAGCCTAGTACAGAAAAGTTCAGATGCCCCTTCCTCCATAAAAGAGTATTAAGATATTTTCTAATATCTTATTTACACCTGCAGTCTTTGGGTATTTATGAACTATTTTTTCATTTCCTAACTGATGTAATTTCTGTTTATAGCCTGTACTAATTTTTGCTGAACATCTGCGGCTATTTTAACATTCATATAACAAATAAATGTTAAGCACTAGTAAATTATATCCAGCTTATGAGAACTGCTGATATTTATGAGGATTCCAAAATCAGAATCTTTTTTCCCCCTGGGTATAAAAATAGCTTGGCTACAGTTCCCATAGTAATCAGTGCTGTCCATGCAATTTACTGTGTCATTGAAGTATTAACACTTAGTTGAAAAAACGTTAGCATCATCACAATTTTGGATTTTTTTCAACAGCTATACTTGTAATAAAGTGCCAGCAGGCTCTTATTTTTTACATTTAAAAAATTTCCAATTCTAGTCATAGTAATAAACCTTTGGTTCATGGAAATCAAAAAGCTATAGTACATTTACACAGTGGAATACTACTCTGCAGTAAAAAGAAGAAAATATTTCCTTTGAGACAGCAAGGATGCACCTGAAGAGTATTATGCTATGTGAAACAAGCCAGTAAGAAGACAAATACCATATTATTTCACTCATATGTGGAATCTAAATTAAACAACAACAAAAAGAAACTGACTCACAGATAGCAATTGTCAGCACTCAGTGTAGGGGTAACGAGGCTGGCAGGGAAGAGGGGAGTGACGGGATTGAGAAAAAAGGGAAAAAAGAAAAAACTCATGGGCATAGATAACAGTGTGGTGATTTCAGAGGGGATGGGGATGAAGACAGGTGGGGAAGGATTTAGGATGGATAAATGGTGATGGGCAGAAACTTGACTTTGGGTGATGAACACACAATACGGTGTATAGATGATGTGTTGTAGAATTGTACACCTAAAACCTGTATAACTTTGTTAATCAGTGTCACCCAATAAATTCAATAAAAAAGAAAAAGTATAAAAAGAAAAAATAATAATTAGTAATTTATACAGAAAAGAGGTGGAAATAAAGTTAAATTTTTATGTAAAAAAAAAAAACCCTTCTGTAATACTTAAAAATACAGGTTAATATTACATGGGAAAACGAGATAAATTATAAATAAACTAGAGGCCCGGAACACAAAATTTGTGCACTGGGAGGGGGTGTCCCTCAGCCCTGCCTGCACCCTCTTGCAGTCTGGGAGCCCTTGTGGGATGTCAGACTGCCAGCGTAGGGATGCTCTTCTCATAATCCAGGAACCCTCACTCCTTACTGCCTGTCTGTGTTCTTCTCCTTACTGCTCAGCTTGCTACTCCTTAGCACGCCACGTGGGCTTTGCTAAGATCTCTGCACTTGCCAGCCATGATACCGGCTTAGAGCTGAGTGGCACGCCCTCTGTGGAGGCGCACTGACCACCAAGGGGCAGCTCCTGCGTTGAGTGTCTGCCCTGTGGTGATCAGTGTACATCATAGCAACCAGTTGTCCCACTGGTTGTTCTGCTGTTTGGTCAATTTGAATATTAGGATTTTACTAAATAGGATATATAGTAAGTACCTACATTTTTGCACTAGAATTATGACTAGACCTAAATTTTTTGAAATATATTTTTATTGATTTTAGAGAGGAAGGAAGAGGGAGAGATAGACATATCAATGATGAGAATCACTGATCAGTTCCCTTCCACATACCCACAACCCTGGCATGTGCCCTGACCGGGAATTAAGCCATGACCTCCTGGTGCACAGGTCAATGCTCAACCACTAAGCATTGCTGGCCAGGCCTAAAATTTTTTACTTCAATTCATCACTAAAGATCTCATTAGTATACTGGTATGTGTTCAATATCATTATTGCATTCATACTTGATTGAATGTAAAAATAAACAAATAAAATGTGGGTATTTCTATCATACCAGTATTATAATAGTTCTCATTTTAAATCTCTTGTCCTTATTACTTATCTGTATATGAAGGGCTTTAACTAGATTATTTCTTAATTTCTTTTTAATATGAACATGCTATGCCTTTAGTTCAACTCATGGAATGAAATATTTCTTTACTTTAACAGGTTCTATGGAGATTTGATGGCAAGAAACCAGATACCTTAGGGCCAAATACTCGGCTCTATAAGTGGATCCCCCAGAATGACCTTCTTGGTAAGACTGTAAACCAAACACCAAAATAACAATAACTCCAAAGATAGTGATAATACTTCAAAAAGAAACAAATTACTGAACATTTATTTTAGAAAAACTCAAAAATAAATCTTAATTTCCTTGTATTTGTTTGCTAGTCCCGGGGGAAAGGATAACATATAAAAGCGAACATTTTATTATAAACCATCTCCTCCCTTATGTCTGAAATCAAAGATCTTCATTTCAGGTGTAATTACTTCTCATGAAGAAATTTTTCAGCCAAAACTAATTTGGTTCAGTGGATAGAGTGTCAGCCTGTTGCCTGAAAGGTCCCAGGTTCGATTCCAGTCAAGGGCATGTACCTTGGTTGGGGGCACATCCCCAGTGCGGGGGGTTGGGCAGCTGATCAATGTTTCTCTCTCATCGATGTTTCTAGCTCTCTGTCCCTCTCTCTTCCTCTCTGTGAAAAATCAATGGAATGTTTGTTTTTTTTAAAAAAGTATTTTTCAATAACTACCACTCTGCCTCCTACTTCTCCCTTCTTATTTCTATTTTTTTCCACTTTTGTATGGGTATTAATTCACTGCCATTAAAAAATAAGAGCACCTCTTTTGTTTCTAGTGACTCCATTTTCAATAGAGAAATAGCCATAATGTTTTTCATGAAGTAACAACACATTTCACGATAAAGTGTGGTCTGTTCTTTTTCTGATTCCAGAGTCACCACACTCACATTTCCTGCTGCCTGGACAGCCCACATGTAATTCTCGGTGACTTGACTATTTCTTTAAGAGAATATGTTCCAAACTGGTACCTCCTTTTCTTTTTTCCTTTTTTTCTGCAAATGCTATTTTTTTATCCATAATGCTCTCTCTTTTTCAAATTTGTCTTTATTGTTAAAAGTATTACAGATTTCCTTCTTCCCCCTCCCCCCCCATTGAGCCCCTCATCCCAGCATCTGCTCTTCACAGAACTTTCACTTCTCTTTCAACTTGTCTATCCAGAAATATTGTATTCATTTTTTAAGTCACAATGCCATACCAGTATCTAGTTACCTCTTCAGCAACTAAAGTTCTTTCTCTGAGATCTAAAATACATTTTAATGCAGTTTCATGTGTATAATAATCTAGAATACAGTGCCTGAGTGCTCTTCTTGACCAACTCTCATTTCATTTCTAAGACTTATAATTAATAATTTACTGAAATTCACCCAATCCTAGGCCATCCAAAAACCAAAGCCTTTATAACTCACGGTGGAACCAATGGCATCTATGAGGCGATCTACCATGGGATCCCTATGGTGGGCCTCCCTATGTTTGCGGATCAACCTGATAACATTGCTCACATGAAGACCAAGGGAGCAGCTGTCAGAATGAACTTCAACACTATGTCTACTTCAGATTTACTCAATGCATTGAAGACAGTCATTAATGATCCATCGTGAGTACCATAATTTTAATAGTATTTATAGATTCTTTTGTCTGTGACAAGTACAAGTTTCATCCCACACTGAGAAATTAATTTTAAAGTTATTAACATGATTTAACTAATTTAAATCTGCTTTTATTTTCAACCAGACATTAACTTCAAAGTTTCTTTTAACCTGATTGAACAGGTAATCAATTACTGCAACAGTTTTCTACACAAGCATACACAAAGTTATATTGTTCACTACAAGGACACGTTTTTAAAAATATGATAGAACCCATAGAATGAAGAAATGAAGAACTGAAGAAGTTGCATAAAGTATTTCAATTTAGTGCCAAACATTTCTGAAACTATAAATCTTGTGGGGGTGAGGGGAAGGGGGTTCCATGGAAAGTTCTCTACAGGGTGACCTGATCATAAATTCCTAACTGTGAAGGTACTGATGAGCAGATATGCTCCAGGGCTATAACTTATTTACTGAAATGTTTTTACACCAGACCTGCCCATTATTTTTATTTGTTTGTTTGTTTGTTTTTGTGTGGGGGGGGTTGTTTGTTTGTTTTTTGCATCTAGCTTAATACTCCTTTTATTGATAAATACCAGAAATAATACCCCTCAAAAGAGGCACTACCCAGCTGGCGTCGCTCAGTGGTTGAGCATTGACCTGTGAACCAGGAAGTCACAGTTTGGTTCCCAGTCCAAGCCACATGCCCAGGTTGCAGTTGTGAGCTTGGTCCCCAATGGAAGGTATGGGGGAGACAGCTGATCTGTAATTCTCTCTTGTCATTGATATTTCTATCTCTCTCCCTCTCCCTTCCTCACTGAGATCAATAAAAATGTATTTTTTTAAAAAACAAAAGGTGGGATCATTAACTCTCCAGTGAGCACATAATCTTATTAACGGTATCCTGTAATCCAATCCCTGCTTTGCTTCATCCAACTTCATGTAATCTTACTTTGTTTTAACCTTAAACTCAAAAGCATAAAGGCAACTGCAAAACTATATTATTCATAGGGTCATTTGATATCTTGTTCCCAACATATGTCATTAGTTTGGTTCCAATAAACTCGTAAAAATTCTCTACAGGTTTGGATGTTCTTACATTGACAGTAACTTTCTACTTAAAAAAATGATTTTTATTATAATTATTTTAACATACTTTACAATATAAAAAGCCTAAATAACTATAATGACCGGTTAACACAATGACCAGTCAACTGGTCGCTATGACACACACTGACCACCATGGGGCAGATGCTCAATGCAGGAGCTGCCCCTGGTGGTCAGTGCACTTCCACAATTAACCTTCCCCAAATAGACAACCTCCCAAAATCCCTCCCTCAGCCAGCCGCACCCTGATCATGACTGGGTGAGAGGGCCCCCATTAGCCCCAATCTCCAGCCAGGCTAAAGGACCCCACGCATGCACAAATTCGTGCAGTGGGCCTCTAATTATATATATATATATATATATATATATATATATATATATATATATATATATATATATATATAGTGGTGCCTCGTATAAAGAACGCCTCGCACAGCAAACGCTGCACACAACAAACTTCATTTCATGATTCATACAACGAACTTCGTTTCACACAACGAAGTCGCCCGAGCTTCCACGACCGCTTTGCCCGAGCTTCCACGACTGCTTCACCTGAGCTTCCACGATCGCTGCCGATGTATTGCATCCTTCCGCGCAGGCACTGCAGGCAGTCGTTAGTCACTGCGCTTAACTTAAGCACGTATCGCGGCAATCGTTCTTCATTATGAATTAAATCACGCACATATCACGGCAGTCGTCCTTTTAAGTTAAACTCAATATTTTTTTTATATCATGGCTTCTAAAAAAAGCAGGAAGGTGATTTCTGTTGAAATGAAACAGGAAATAATTAGAAGGAGTGAATGTGGGGTAAAACAGTGTGACCTCGTCAAAGAGTTTGGCCTCAGCAAGACCACCATTTTCACCATTTTGACAAATAAGGATGCAATCAAATCAGCCAAAGTAGCCAAAGGAGTATCAAACTATTTCATGAAAAACATAGGTCTTCAATCCACGAGGAAATGGAGAGGCTATTAGCGATTTGGATTAAGGACAGGCAGGTGAAAGGTGACGTAACAACCCAGATATTATCTGTCACAAAGCCAAGAGAATTTATGACGATCTAAAGAAAAACGTCCCTGAAGTAGCAGCAATCAAGATAATGAAGAGAATTCAAAGCCAGCAGGGGGTGGTTTTTTAGATTTAAGAAAAGGTGTGGAATCCACAGCGTTACTATGCATGTGGAGGCTGGCAGTGCTGACAAGAAAGAAGCAGAAAAGTTCTCTATTAACTTTCAAAAATGTATTAAGGATGAAGGATACTGCCCACAACAAGTGTTCAATGCGAATGAAACGGGTCTTTTCTGGAAAAGAATGCCGAGCAGAACCTTCATTACAAAAGAGGAGAAGAATTGCCAGGACACAAAGCCATGAAGGACAGACTTACCCTTACGTTTTCGTCTAATGCCAGCGGAGCCTCAAGATCAACCTCTATGGTTATCACTCTGAAAATCCAAGAATTTTCAAGAAAAATAACGTTATTAAGTCCAAACTGCCCATCCATTGGAAGGTCCAATCAAAAAGCCTGGGTAACCAAGTTATCTTCAACGAATGGATTCTGGAAACCTTTGCTCCTGCCGTGAAGAAATTCTTGCTGGAAAAAGAACCTGC